GTAAAAAAAATTAAATTATATATTATATTACTCTTATTAAAATGATTACTCTTATTAAAATTCAATATGAAAGGAGAAGTAAAGCTGACAAAGTGTACATTTACATCAAATGCATCATTCAACCACATGCAGGTATTTAAATACTAGACCTTTGGAGTTACATACAGATACATACACTTAGAGCAACACACATCTATGCTTGATGTTTGATAGAAAAGAAGAAGCAAACCACACCAGACGCACCCACCAACCGCTTACTTTTAAAATGATTCAGATTATAGTAAAATAATGCGTGGACGCGTGGTGGAATCAGGTGCTTATCAAATGAAGGAAATCAAAGGAACCGGCTTTATTATTGTTGTGTACACAAGTAACGAGATTTCCTCGGGGCGCGGGTTCCCGTGCGGAGTGGCACGGATATCTCGTGCAGGGATGGGTTCTTGGGTAGAGGAGTTCAGGAAAGTGTATATAATCAGCCAGTCACGGCTTTCTGCGGGAAAATCGAGGGACAATCGAGGAACAATCGGACGAGAGAGAGTAGTGGACAAAGCCTTGGTCGACTCACTGCAGGAAACGTACAATGTACTACATTTATTGAAATTAAATACTCAAAAACCACGGTAAGAGTTTTCTTTTATCATTTATTATGTCGTTTTAACTTGTCGTGTAGTGCGGTGTTCTGCAACAATTATCTTTCAGTCAATGCCATGGTGTTCTTATGCCTTAATCCTTTATAGTCTATGCTGAGGTGCTCCTCTTTATGAACCGAACCCTTTCTAGCCAATGCCATATGGGGTTTCTCTGTAGTTATCAACCCTTTATAGCTAATGCCATATTATATAATTATTGGGTTTCTCTATAGTTATCAACCTTTTATAGCCAATGCCATATGGGGTTTCTCTATAGTTATCAACCCTTTATAACTAATGCCATATTATATAATTATGGGGTTTCTCTATAGTTATCAACCCTTTATAGCTAATGCCATATTATATAATTATGGGGTTTCTCTATAACTATCAACCATTTATAATCAACTAGCTGGGCCCCCTTTCCTTGAAAGGAATGATCGGTGCATTAACATCAACGGAAAGTCAATGGCCTACTATATTTACACTCTACTGGAATGGAGCAATAAATCTTGAGATAAAAGTGACACGTGTGTTTCCAAGTTGCCAAATTATTGTATAAAAGGCTAGATGTATAGATTGATTCTCTATTCCGCTTTCGTGGTTGTACACTCCAGAATTTCAAAGGTGCGAAACAGTGCGCACTGCTAGTGAAAGGAAACCTCACTTGTTTACAATGGCGTCTTAGAAGACGGACTTTCCCAAGATTAGATCTAAACGAAACTAACGAAAAACTGAAAATTAAATTACAGGGACTTCAGGCTCTTCAATGAAACTCTGCACCCTTTTAAATGATTCTGAACCATCATTAATTTTGTCAAAGATGACCAAAGTGAGAAACTTTCACAAATAAGATGTATAAAAATGCCATGGAGCTCCTCTCCAGCTATTAACCCTTAATCATCAATGCCAAGGCATTCTTCTGTATTAACCCTTTATGGTGTCCATGCGTGTTAACCCTCTGGATGAGAGTGGTTGGTGGGTGCTCTAGTGTGGCTTGCTCCTTTTTTCCTATCAAACAACTCGTCTTTATCTCTCATACTTCTTTTTTATGTTTGTTAAATTACTCTCTTGTAACACCTCTAATCTTCGGGCGCTCATATGACCTTATTGTGTTGCAAGTGCTGAAAAACTCTTTTCCTAAAAAAAAAGTTCCCTTATTGTGTTGCAAGTGCTGAAAAACTCTTTTCCTAAAAAAAAGTTCCCTTATTGTGTTGCAAGTGCTGAAAAACTCTTTTCCTAAAAAAAAGTTCCCTTATTGTGTTGCAAGTGCTGAAAAACTCTTTTCCTAAAAAAAAAAAGTTCCTTTATTGTGTTGTAAGTGCTGAAAAACTCTTACTAAAAAAATGTTTTGTTTTAATTAACCCTCTCTGTGTGACCCC